TCAGAATAAAGATTTCTGGAGGACATAGAAATCATGCAGAGTCCTTAACAAGATCTACATGTTGGCAACTTCAGCCTCCAAATAGGCCATTCCATTTTAAAGAGCATTTAAATGTTTACAATGATAGCAGAAGACTTGATTTATCCAGAAGCTTCATTCACAGCAGTGGAGCTTCCTTCACCTGGGAGCAACAGCTAGGGAACCATTCACAGTCTCTTAAAGAAAGTAATGCTCCTAGGTAACAATACATAGATTGCTGTAATATAGTGTAAAACATCTATATACTGAGAGAGAGAATAGAAAACATTTGTTTTAAAATATGTTAAAAGACGGGATTTTTTTGGCTCTATTGCAAAATCAATAGCTGGTGTCTTACTTTCAATTGTAAAAAAACAAAGAGGAAGAACAAAAATGTCTCTGCCAAATATACGAAATGCTCTTTTAGCCTGTTTTCCTTTTTATCTTGGTATACTTTTTTTTCACTGATGTTCCAAAAAGATTTAAGTACCAATTAGTGTAATTTTTGCCTCACATCCCATAAACTGGGATAGGAATTTCCCTCATTAACTACCAAAGCACAAGATAATATAGAGTAAGAGTAAATTCTGTACTTCAGCCAACTGTAAATTCTTTTAAACAACACAGAAGTCTCTGCCTATAGTAGCATTTATAAGTCTACAGTGCACACCAGTGGAATATAGTAGTACATGCATTTTTCCACTATTTTCAGTATAATGTAAAATTGTTTTGTAAATATTCCATCTTATTTAACTATGAAATGACCAGAAAACACATCCTTCAGGATTTATAAAGATGGATAAAAAACTATGAGGAAGATTAGCAATGACTATAAAAAAAGAATGTTTTTTTGTACATAAGATAAAATGATCATTCTAAAACCTAAAACTTCAACAGCCTTGCTCACTCCAATTCTGTGTTTAAAAACATCACAGCAACACACCAAAGATTTGCTTTGTTTTCCAGAGTGCAAAGACCTAACTAATCAAATTCAGACGTACTTTTTGTGTTTCTCAGACTGATGGTTAATTGATCTATAAACTAAACTGTATCTGAAAAAATTGGATACCCCATTCCAGGGGACATTCAACAAGTAAAGTTATGGATGTAAAAATTTTCATTTTCTTCAGAGAACTTAGATAAAAATTTGCCTTTCTGTGGATACTCCTGTAAATACAACAACAAGTACAGTTTTATGTTGAGTGCTTTCCTATTTTAAAAATAACAAAGTATTTTACAACTTTTAATTCTTAGAACAAAATTCTTTGAACAAAAAAGGAAATTACCAGTTATGACACCGAATGCAAATTCTGTTGTATCTGTTAAAATGGTCTAATTTATAACCCCAAATAGGGCAAGATCAATGCTAGTGGACCACAAAGCTATGTATAATGCTCATGGTTACTATGATCATAAATTGTCACTTTACTGTTTTTTTTAAATTAAGTCAGTACTTTGAAAACTCATTTACAACTTCCAAATTGATGATGAATGCATAATTTTTTAAACTGATGATCAGCAAGATCACCAAGGCTTTCTATATTTAGTTTATTCCGAGGTGAGCAAATACTTTTTTTTAATGAAAGTAATTCAAGAAATTGATTAGTTATTGGGAGAACTAATAATCAAGTCTTGGCAGCTGTGAAGCTTCTAACATTCCCCAAAATCTCTCCAACTTCCAAAAGGCTAGCAGAGCCATCCATTCCTAAAAGTGGTTTGATTTGCAGTAGCGCTGTCACTTGCAGACCAAGCACTTTTTTTCACATTCACAGTGGGACTGTTAGGCAATTTACCAAAGGAAATTACAGATTAATTTAGTCAAGGACATGAAAATAATCTAGATATAATGACTGATCTGCTATTAATCTAGAAATTCCTTTGAGGTTTAATATTGACGATATAAGTTGGAATCAGGCTCCATGCTTAGCCTAGTAGATGTCTGCACTTTCCTTTATTTCACTTTCAAATATTTCACTGTCAAAAATCTTGTCTGTTGTTCCAGCATCCACTTCTCAACAGTAATATATAGTGAGTAATATTCACATCCATGTTGTCAACACACAAGGTTTGGTTTATTTCAGTAGAGGGAGAGTTTCCACTTACAGAAACCCCCCTCTACTGATACAAATAATTTCATTTGCATTAGTCAGATTCATCCAGACCTGTGTAATTTAAAAATGAGATTTATGTTATAAATATGAGAAGATGAACACAGTGCTCAAAATATCACCTCCTGTTAGCAATTAATGTAATTGAGCATATTCCCAAGAAAAAAGCAGCAACACATATATGCAAGCATTCACATACATAAATATTGTTATCTATCTCCAATGAATTCTCAGAAAATTTTTTACTTCCTGTTGTCCTATTCCTGATGACAGCACCATAAAGTATTTCATAAAGATTACATTTCTTAAGCAAAAACTATTAACTAAATCTGGACCTCCTCTGTTTTGCACAAGTATAACAAGCTAAAATCTTACTTAATGAACATGCAGAAAATAAAGAACTAAAACCTAAAGAAACTCAAATATGAAAGATAGATGCTGGTTTGTTGCTGTGCTGCATATGCATCACCTATTAACTAGAACTTGAGACTTAATAGACTGCTTGCAATTCTTTCCAGAACATGAAAGAAAACTAATTAAATTCCCTCTATTATTCCAAATCTGAGATGTTAAATTCATAGGACATTTTTAATTCACTACCTATGTTTAGTTTTATAGACATGCACTTTGAGTTTTGTTGGATCAAAGATGTCCTCTATCCATTGTCCTGAAAGCTAAAACCTGTAAACTGCAACACAAATATTTCTTATTCTTCTAGTCATGAATGCAGACTGAAAAGAACATGTATTTCCTAACACCAATCCAACACAACCAGGCAATGTTCTTAAATTATTCCTTCAAGGCCGATCTTTGTAAAAGTACATTGCTTTCTGGCATCAGAACTCCACCATGTGTGCCCTGCTGAGCTAAATGAGTCTCCTGATACACTTACCTGTTCTCCTGAGTATCAGGACAAACCTTGGTAGTACTCCAAGGCCTGACAGCTTTGGTTGACTCCTTTGTTTACCTATCAGAGTTGCCTCCCATGGGACCCTTCCCAGCAGTTCCCTGACTAAGACAATATCCTGCTCTCCTTAGATTCAGGGTTTGTACTTGGCTGCTTGTCTTTCTTCTTTCAGGATGACCAACACAGTTATTTCAAAATTACCACAGATGAGGAAATTATTCATCATCACATCCCCAGCTGGTTTCCTTCATATTCATCAGCAGCAGATCCAGCTATTCACCACCACTTGTTGGCCCTTTGACTACTTTCAGCAAGAATTTATTCCTGAAACCACACTGAAATATCTTTGATTGAAGCAGCTATTCTACCCACAAGAACTGGAGTTTACAACTCCGAGATCTGAGTTCTTTCAATGCTTTTGTTTGATTCCTCATCAGGTGGTCTGTAACAAACTCCTACCACAATGACACCCTTACTGGCCTCTCCTCTGATTCTAGAGTCACAAGTCTGATTATCCTCCTTCCTTCTGGGGACCTAAAAAGACCTGAGCTGTTTATGGGTCTGAGGGCAACTTCCATGCCCTCAGCCCTTCCTTGCCAGTATTTATGGAAGTCCCTCACATTACTCCAGTTGCATGGACTCGGCACAGTATTTGAGTTGTTCCAGCAATATTGTAGTTCTGTAACCACATACAGCTCTAATTCTCTCTGCTTGTTTCCTAGGATGTGTGCATTTCTTTACCAACATTTAAGATGGGTGTCGCTTCACATAGTTTTATCACTCCTGAAGTCTTTCTTGCTCCTATCAACCTGTGGCCTGAGCTTTCCAGCCAACCACCTGTTCTTCATTTCACTGTGGTCTGAAATCTCTCATTTTCTAGTTGAAATTCTCTTTCCTAGTTGAAAGCTCTCCTTGTTACGTTACCCAGCTGGTAGGATCAAGGAGACCAGACCTGGGTCCCCATGACCTCAACCCCAGAGCTTTGTGATCATTCCCAATACACCCCTAGCTGCTGCCCATGGGGATGGCTAGTAGTGTAGCAATCTAAGGACTGGACAGACCTCAGCAATCTCTCTGTAATGTTCTGGATCCTAGCCCACAGCAAGCCTCATAACCCTCCAAAAAAGCATGTGGGGAACAAGAGGTTTCTTTCCCCACCGGAGCAAGCCTCTTACTACCGCCACCCACTGCTTCTTCCGGATGTTAATGCATGGCTTGTGTTAAAGCTGGCTCTGATGCTTCACAAGCCATGGCTTTCTTTTCCTACTTCACCACCAGTAGAACATTTTGAACTGCAGATCTGGAAAAAGAGCCATCCTCCAGCTGCTGGAGAACATATCTTTCCAGTGCTCCTACTGTGGGACTCTGTTCACTGTGAAACTCTCAGCCTCCGGCTGCCTCTCCCATGTGGTTCAGACTTCCTTATCTCTGGGTCTCTGTGGAGACCCTGTTAATCTCTTTGCCTTCTCAGATCTTGCACAGCCTTACTTCCTTGTCCAGGCCAATGGGGGCAACACATTTTTCCATCCAATTTCTACACCTCTACTGTTCTATTGTTCCAGCCTCACAGGAAGGGTGGCAGGGCTTTCCTGAACATCCCCTTACCCCACACGGGCCCTTTCTCTCTGAACACAAGCCCTGCTGGAGCCTGATCACAGACTGCTGTACATCAGGACCACCAGCCCCACCACACATGGGGATGGGGCATCAGAACCTGCCTCCTGGAAGCCAGTGGAGCCATCCCAGTGCCACTTCCACAGCTCCCGAGCACCAGTGCTGCCATGGCAGCATCCACACACCCCCATCAGGTCCCTTCCATCTGGGTACACAGAATAACAATTGGTAAATGGCAAATTTATCACATTCATAAACCATGGACACAAATTTACTCTCAGTTACAACACAGGAAATCAGAAGTCTAAATTTTCTTTCTTACTCCATGTGATAACAATGTACTGCTAACATACCTGTTTCAGATTTTCCAGCTTGATTTGTCTCAGTTCTTCATATTTCCATTTCCAAAGAAATAATTCATTTTCCATCTTTTCCATTTTTCTCTCCAGAAATACATTCATTCTAGAAAAGCATTTTAAAATTTAGCATTGCACAATTTTGAAGCTGACAGAAGAAAAATTACTTTGAATTTCCTTCTCATAGTTTGAGTTATATTCTGCTGCCTTTGTCAATGGTATATCTTGATTTTCTAAAAATCTATATTATCATTGCATGATTATTCCAAAAGATTCACCAAAAATAATAGCTAAAGAGAAAACAGAAATCCAGTAGTACAGATTAAAACTTTAAATGAAATAAATTTTTGGGATAAACTGAAGAAAATTTGACTTCAGTTACTGGTTCAGGCTACCTAATTTATCACAGCGTCTTCACAAATAGTGAAGATCCTCAAAGAAAAGGTATTACATCACTAGTATTTAGTATAAACAGAAGATAAAACACAAGTATACACGGGGAAATATGCACCATAAAGACTAGAAACCAAAGATTATGTTTGTTAAATGTTAAAAAACATTATTAAAATATGCAATATTTCACATTTTAAAAAATTGCTCCTGGAAGAAAATGCTAGAAGAATTTCAGGAAAATGTATTATTTAGTGCAGAAGTACTATGCCTGTACAATGACAAAAATACAATATAGTTGAAAAGAAAATTCTAATACTAATATCTGATATTAATATTAATATCTAATAATAATTCTAATATTAATTCTAATAATTTTCAATTAAAGAAACTGTTGTGTGCCACAGTAGTTATTTTCAATTTTAATGGAGGCTAATGGAATTTCTCAACCTTTTTAACAAAGATATTATTGCTGGGCTTACTAGAACTATATTTTGAAAATTTCGTTTAAATAGTCACCTATTGAAACAAAGTGTATTGATGGAATTTGCCTGGGGCATTTCTTTGCTTGCACAGAGCTAGCAAAAGTTGCCACTGACTGGACTGACTCAGATCCTACATTAACTAATCAATCCGTTATTGTGAAATATCTTCTCTCTTCTTTTATACCTAAATCTGATGCTCTTGAATCAGGAATCTCTTTTTTTCTGTCTAGATTTAGCATATTGCACAGCTTATATTAGCAAACACCTAAAACTCCCATAACATTATATTTATTTATATTTTATTATATTTATTTATAAAATAAATACTATTATTCACAGAGCAAAGTAGACCAAGATGTACTTCATGCATTTCAACTCAACAGTTTTTCTTTCAAAGTAGTGGGCTATTTCATTGGAATGATATCATGACCTCATTGGGGAACCAAGATAATTATTAGTGGGACATTTAATATAGTAAAAAGTGAAAGCATGAAAGATGACTTTCTAATACTTTGAATAATAGCCTATTGACCTTACTCAATGCAGTGAGAGTCCTCAGAAATGGTCTAATCTGAAAAGTAAAAGAGGACTGTCCAGTATGTTTTATTTATTTAGAAGACACTAGCTTTGTTTTTTGTTACAGTACTTCTTGAGGCCAGCTCCCTCCAATACCAGTAATTGAAAGAAATTATTCTGATTACAAAAAGTTTACTATTTAAGCAAAGAAAACAAGGAATGGAAGAAAGAATATAGCAGACATCAGAAGCAGCTTACTACTAGGTAAAATAATCAGGTTTAGAGATTTTTTCCTGGATCTTACAATGACACATTTTAACTCATTATCAAGTTAAATCACAGAATTACACAGAATGGTTGAAATTGAGAGGGACCCTGAAGAGGTCATCTGGTGCAAACCCCATGTTCAAGCAGGGTGGCCTAGAACTCATTGCTCAGGACCATGTCCAGATGGCTTTTGAATGTCTCCAAGAATGGAGACTCAGAAACTTTTCTAGGAAACTGGTGCCTGTGTTCAGTTCTCCTCACAGAAAAAAAAAGGATTTCTTGTTCAGGCAGAGCCTTTTTAATCCATGGTCTATGTTACCCAGCCAGTCTTATGCAGTTCCTCTTTGGTATTATCAACTAGCAGCGAGCAAATCTGTGGCCTTTTGGTTTTAGAGGAAATAGACACTTTTAAGTTCAAAACAGAACAAATTACGACCTTAAAACTAGAAGACATTTAGATGAGAAAACTGATCCAAAAGATTACAAAAGATAGCTATTTTAAGCAAATGATTATGCAAAATGCTGAGCCACTCTCAAGGTTTGTAATTTCCATTCATATTAATAGGACCTCAAATGTGTAATTGATATGAGCCATTAGTACCAAGTAGAGGATGTTGGTGTGTAATTTTATCAGGCAAACCCAAGCCTGATATTTTTTGAATGTCAAAACATAAATTTTCATTTCTTTACTTTTGTTTTTTTTTAGACCTTCTTTCTTTTTGTCCTTTGCAAAGCCTGGTCTGTGTGCATAAGGCTGTGTCAACATCACTGATGATAGCTCTAAGCAGAATGCAATAAGCAGAATTTCTCTCAGAGTGAAGAAGTAAAACATCTTATAGAAAGATTAGTTAGGAAACCAAGAAGGTTACTAGTTAGGTAACTATTAGGTAACTTAGGGGAAGTTCAAACACTGGATTTGCATAAGCTAACTTGACTCTAGAAAAAATGCAGTCAAGAGTTCAGAGTGCTTCATGTAAACCAGGAAACTGCTGAGAAGTCTTCCTCTGTATCAGTAAGATCATACTGACTGCTAAAGTAACCTTTGGCCTTGGGGTTCAAGCTGTCTGTGATCTGTTTGGTTTTGATGCAGTACAGCTGCATGTCCTTGGCTCGAGTTCACTGAGAAAATTGCTAAGTTGTGAGAAAGAAGCTGTGAGAAAGTACTTAAGTTAGAGCCACACAAGATAAGGGGAGTAAAAATGCAAACAGGGGTGAGATTGTTCAGATAGTCATTACTAGCAACTCCAGAATACACGAGTAAAAATACTGACATGAGCAAGAATAAAAGGGAGAAAATTTGAAATCTGAAGTTGGAAATTCAGCAAAATCAGCCAATTCTACTAAGTGGTGGAGACCAACCCTTTCTGAGATAGCAGGTGACAGCCTGCCCAACAAAGATTCATCAGCTGTCTCAAGGGACTGGTGACAATGATAATACTTATCCTAGAAACATTATTCCTAACTATTTACAGTCTGCATTGCCAAATATAGTTGCTTCATACTTATAAGTTGCCTATGTTCTGCTTACATAACCTCTCTGCATGCAGGAAATGCTGCCCTCCCGGAGAGGGAGTTGTTACACCAATCCCAGCTGTTGTGTGGAAATCACTGCTCTGCAAGCATTTTTGATGCCTGAGGTTTGCATTGTCACATGTTGCATGTTATAGATGTGCCCCAGTTCTTACCATCTGCCAGTAAATTTATTGCCTTATACCACAGTCAGTATATATCTAGGCATAAATTGAAAAATCTGTCTCTCTGAAGTACAGCTAAATATTGGTTAGAGAGGCATGTGAACAGACAAACCAAAACCTATTAAAGTTTTGCCTGAGAAGTGACTAAAAGTGAGTTGAAAAATTATCCAATTTCTAAAAGAAAATAATTATATATGTATGTATATTGTGATTGTTAATGAAGTACCTAGTCCCCTAAATATTTCAACCCCAGGAAAATAGGTGAGGTGTCAGTATCCTAATTCACATATATACTTGCTGCCACAGAAAAACTAAATACTTTTTAAGGAGAGAGAGCACAGACATTTTCTGCTATATGATTCAACTAAAGAATTATTGTATGCTTTCTACAACTATCTAATTCATATAACAAAACACATTAAATATTAGTTAGGAATTGAAAGGATTTTTTACTTCAGACTTGTACTAACTACATGACAATTATGAAATAAACTGACAGACAGGAAATGTGAAATAAACTGACAGGAAGGAAATTCTTCAACAAAGTTTACCATTACAGACTCTCTGAACTGAAAGTGTTGAATATATTTGCAATGTTGAGTATATTTGCAATATACAGGGAATTTTATTCCTTTAAATTTCCTAATTAACTTCAACTGACTTTGAAATTACCATCACCTGTAATTACAGCCTGAAGTCTGCTACCAAGTCATCATACATCACATGCTGCATATTTTCTTGAAAGGCCTTTTTGGTGACATTCAATCTTTGTCAGTATTGATCATTTATACAACATAAAACTTTTAGGCCACCAAAATATACCAAAATAATTTATGTGAGGCAAATTTGATATGCTACGTAAGTGTACAATAAATGTGTTTCTCCCTCTTTGTTACCGGCTTTTAACACAGACTTTGCTACAAGTGAAGATGTTGAGATTAACAGCATTTTGCATCTGATTCAAATATTTTGAATTCAAAAGCAGCCTTTGTCATTCTGCATTTGGACTCTTTCAAAGGTCTGCCAGTAGAGTATATGAAAATTTGTTATTATGCACAAAGCACTTCAATAACTGGGTATAACATACATTAGATATCACTGTATCTATACCAGATTGCTATTAAATACATATTTGTATGGAACACCTCTTATTTAAATGACAAACAGGCCAAAGAAAACAATAAACACACTATGCTGAATTGTTTCTCTAAATTCTTATTAAAGTCTTGCAAATAGCTATGAATAAAGCTTAAAACATATGAGCTATAAATGCAAACATCATATCTATTTTAGAAACTGTCTTCAACATCTCTGTGAGAATTCCACAAATAGGATATATTTTGCACTTACTCTCTTTCCTTCTGTAAGATTTTTCTCATCTCAGCCAAATGCAAATTTAAGACTGATACATGTATTAAATCATTCTCTGTTGTCTTAGCAGCAGTGTCCAAACTTATTTTAGGTTCCCCCAAATAGATGCTGGGTAGTCCACTGGGGAAGAAATCAGGAGGCTTTGGACTAAATTTTTTATTGTCATTGTTTTGGTCTTTGTTTACATCCTGAGGGAAAAAAAAAAAAAAGACATCTGAGAAAAACAGAAGTGAAGGAAAAAGTCTAACATAGTTCCATAGACAGACCAACCAAGGCTCTTCTAGACATTTAAGGAACATAGGAGAAAAAAAGGAAGTAGGTTAAATCTTGGACAGTTGGACTGTATATGGGTAGAAGGTGCAGAAAATGTCAGTATACATATATATAATATATATATATATATATATTCATTATATATATATATTATATATATTATATATATAATGAACAACTGTCATTTTATGATATCTAACAGCTTTTGTTATGACACGCTTCATATACAAAATATTTCCAATGTGTCTTTACGAAGGAAATATATTCCATTTCTTTTTTTTGGCTATAACTCTGGTGAAAAGAGAATCCTGGAACTAATAAAACCAGCAGTGCAATTTATCCATACAAATAATGTATTGAGAAACTACATTATGGACTCATAAACTTTTTATGTAAAGTGCGTTGAAGCAGGCTTATACAAGTTTTTCATAAGGAACAAAGTATATAGATATCTATTTTGAAGATAAATGTTTTGCATGCAAAACATAAGAAAACTAGAATCAAAATAGGAAAAAAAATTAAAAACAAAATACACATTTTTGAGAAAGACTGAATGTCTCTTATAAACAAGTTTCCCTTAGAAAGGTATTTGCTTTACCATATCTGAGGAATTTTGTTTAAAAGCTAATCTCATTTTAGCAGTTTACTGACAACCATCTTTACATCAGCCTGTTCTTTTGAGTTTTTAGAATACCCAAAATTTACATCATAAAATACTAGAAACTGAAAAGATAAGTATGTTTGTTATTCACATATAAAGTTTCAGTTTTCAAGTGGAAAATATTTTATGCTAAGGAGAAATAGTTAAAGTATATTTTGTGGTATTTCCTTCCAATGGTACATTTGTCTGCCTGAAAATATGAAAGGCATGGGTTTTTTGGCAAAATTTATTCTTGCTACTAATATTACTTTTTTTTTTTTCTCTCAGATTTCATAGGAATATAGTATCATTAATATTAAGAGCATAATACATTCAGACCTAAGATCTTGGCAATTTCCCTTGAATCGAAGTAAAAATTTTCCTACTTTCAACAATGCAGGGAAAAACATTTTCCTGCAATGTGTGAAAAAAATTACCTGTATTTAAAATGACTGCCATCTATCAGAAAACAGATAAGGTTTTTACATGGTGCTGTCTATGAAGACTACACAGTGCATTCCAAGGCACAGATTTAAAGTTAGTTAAAGGTGAACAAATACTTCAGTTTTTAATGAATATAACTGGATCTTTTGTGTAGAGCTAGGAGCTGTTTAAACAATTCTGAGACTCAGCTTTTTTATTCTACATCATGACTTAATTGATCTCCTTATCAAACAAAAGGTCTTGCAAATTTGCAAAAAGAATTGCCTTACCTCTTCCTCTGCTTTTGAAGTTGAGGGAGAAATAAATTATTTTATTTTAGAAGCCAAGAACTTTATTTGCTTTTTTGGAGGAGAGAAAGAATGTAAGTATACAAAACGTGGTTAATTCTGATAAGAGAGTTAACCTGTTACTGTTAAACATGAGAGAATCAAAACAATATTGTAAATTATTTTTTATAACCATCTGCCTCTGTTCCTTAAATGTCTAGTCATAGTGCAAGGGTATGAATTATTTTCTGTATCTTTCTGTATTAGAAATATTTAGATGGGGGGCGGGCAGGGGGCCATAGGGTTTTGTTAGTGAGTGTATCAGGCATCATTTTGGTCAAAATTCTTGAAAAATCCCATTTCTACATGCACATCCATACTGTGCCACTTCTTCATGAACCACAAAAAATATTTCCCATTCTTTACCTTCTTTGTGTCTTCTGCCCCAGGAATTTTGACGATTTTGTTTAGGTCTTTTGTAGGTTCTGGCTCCAGAAACATTAACAGGTTTTGGTCCTTTTTAATACAGGATATTTCTGAGCAATGGCATTCCGTTTTCCATGCAGTTCCATTTTCTAAGTTTTCTTTCTCAGTTACTAAGTCCTGATTTATTTTTTTAAGCACACTTAGCTCTTTTATCATACTGTCTAATTTGATTCTCAATTGTCTTGCTTCCTCTCGTGCTTTATTTCTTTCTCCTCTAACTTTGCTCCATTTCTCCCTCCAGTTGGCGGTGCAATCTGACCACCAGCGCATGGTCTTCTCCATTTGGGCAGCTCTGGCTTTGACTTCCTCCAGTTCCTGAATTTTTACTGCTTCAAAAATTTCCCAATCACTGCTGTAACTTGCATCTATATGTGCATAATGAGGTGAATTTGGATAGAAACTTTGAGATGGAATATTTGAATGACAGAGAAGGTCACCTGGTTGCCAACATCTATCTAATTTATCGGGTTCTGTTGGTTGGGTCCCAAAAACCTCTATCTCTTCCATTTGTTTCTGAGTGGAGTCTAAATTCGTGTTTTGATCCATCACTTAATTTCACTCCTAAAAAAGACAAAGACAGACAATAATTCATCTTTTAATTTATTATATTGTATGAATAACCTTCAACAGTTGAGGTTTTTACTGCTGTAATAGTGAGTTAAAAATGTTGCTCACATTTTAGAAAAGTGCTTTATCAACAAGAAATAGCTATTCAAATATCTTTTATTTAATACTTTTGGGGTACAGCATAAACAGACATACTTATTACTTGGCAAGGATTTGCTTGCATAGAGTCATTAAATTATCATAGCACTCTCAAAAATGTTTGAGTCTAAAGAGAACAGAACAAAAGCGTTCTTCCTTCAAGACAAAATTGAACTGAATCAATATGTATTTTAAATATCTAGTAAGAGAATGTTATTTGTCTAGGACTGCAATCAAAAATCACTTGACTTCTTTCCCAGACTTTGGAATTTTATATTAAGCAAAACTTACCTTATAATTTGCATACATTAAAAAAAAAAAAAATATCAAAACCCCTGTGATATTTGGATTTCCTCTTTTTCCAAGAGAAAAATCAAGCATTTTTTATAGGGGGCTTTATTTTCTGCATTCCAGAAGATTTCCAGGTAGCATATTTTTATATTATTCTTGGAAGTGTAGCACTATCTTCCTGCACTGTACAGCCTACCTCATAGTGGTATGACTCATCTAGTAAATCTTGTTGCATTCTTTTTCATTATTTATCTTTTGATTATTTATTACTTATTTGGCCCAGAAGAAAAACGGTTTCTCAGAAATTGCTTCCCTACCCCAGTGCTGAGAAAATGCTGATGTGGACAGTCTGCAGAGACTAGCCACTTACATCTCCTTTTTTTTTTACCTCTTGGTTATGTTAAAAACAAATCAGAGAAACCAAGCAACCTAAATTCAACAAATAAACAAACTTAAAAATCTTGCAACTTCAATAAAAGACTAAGTTGCTTCAAGTAAAAAAGAAATTGTTTTTATATTGTGATGTCCATTTGTAAAAAAACATGTTTATATGTTACAGCAATTAGTGGTAACACCTGCATTTGAAATGCAGAAGGCCAATGCTGCTAACAAAACACTGAAGAGTAGATAGAATTGGCAGTATGATTCAGTTATAGCTCATTTCAACTGAATAGAAGTTTTTGCAGTTTTTGCTCTGGTTTGCCAGCTGTTTTTTAACTTTTCCATGATTTTCAGGACATTTATTTGCCATTTGTTATAAGCTTATGCAGAACTCTTGTAGTGGAGGACGGATATGAGAGGAGGAAAAGGACAATGAAGGACTCCCAGTTCCCCTCATTATCACTGCCTGGTGTAGTACCATCAAGCCCCACAACACTACACAGATGTAGCAGAGCTGCTGCCAAAGCTTCATCAAAGCTGAGTCTTTCTTGTTTCTTGACCTACTTCCAGATCATTCAATTTGAATAAGCCTTATCCAAAATACAAAGATATTGCAACCCATAATCTTGTATGCGGCCAAATAGAGTCAAAGTAACTAAATATTAAACTCTTGCAGTCAGTTGTTCATTTAACTTCTAGGTTGTGGTAATTCCTTTATTTCCTAAAGCTTTAATGAAAAACTGACCAAACAAAACCACAGTAAATTTTAGATACATAATAATATATATAAAACATTTTACATAATGTAATAAATATATAATGAAATCATTGAAACTTTTGGATTTTTAAGGAGTACTTTTCTTGCATTAATTTTTTCTTACTTTTTTTGCATCTGTCTCAAATTAGTAGATATCTACAGAAATGTTTATTACACTTTTCATAATCAGTACTTTTTTTCAGTGGATTTTGCTAGCTTCTTTGCATATTCACTTAAAGAAGGGAGAACTTGGAGAAGGGAGAACTTGGGAGAACATAATTTACAAATCTTAAAAGATACAGAAATAAGAATGGTAATATTTTTCTTTGACAGAAAATTTGAAAGACTTGAGAATTATTAATGAATCAGAGTAGCCTGCTACTGATATTTTGTTACAAGTTTGAGGTGACTTTGTCTTTTGACATTCAGTAACATTTCCAAAGCTGGAGAAATGTTATTATCACAGATCACAGGATGCTAAAAAGGAAACATTGGTCATGAATTCTTGCTCTCCTCCACTGTGATGGCTCAAGGGTTCTTGAGGCTGGGACACTGCCAGTCAGATCAAACTTACAGCTGTAATAATTGAAGTAGGCTTGTACAGTAAGCTGGTGGTTTCTTATGTTTCTAATCATTTTATGGTAGGCTGAACTTTGCCTGCACTTTTCAGCATGGATAGATGATCCCAGCTCTGTACTTAAAATTCAAAAAAATTAAGAATAAAAAGAATTAAGAATTAAAAGAAGTCATTCCTCCTCCAGAAAAACAGAAGTGCTGTCTCACTCTTAGGTGGTAAAGAAAAGGAGGTGTTTCTATTTGTATTGACTTCTGTATGTCCTTTTCAGAAAATTTAATCTAAACAGTTTTTTAGATACCCTTTTATGATTGCAAGAGGTAGAATAAAATATCATTTTTTCATTAAAAAAGACAGATCTCAACACAACCCATTTCAGTGTCTGGATGACTCAGGATAGAAAAAAAAATAATAGAAATATTTGCTGGAAAGTAAAGCAGGTAACAGAATTTTTATTAAAAGTATGAATTATGAAGATTTGTGCTTGTACCTATTTTTAAAGAAGTGGACTAAAATATGGGTTTGAAAGGAAGCAAAGATTTAAAAATAAGAAAAATGTGTTGATTATTGTAAAAGTTCTGAAACTGTCAAAAATCTCACAGTTCCAGAGGGATGATTAGGAATGGATTTATCTTATTTATAGTTCATATCAATCTACTCTTCTATGTTCACAAAATGCTGCACTGATGAAATTATAATGAAAACAAGTCCAAGAGTCCAACTGAAGACTGTTGTAGTATTGAATCTGTTGATACTGAATCTTTAACAATCTCTATAGTTACAGTGATATTTAAAAAAATAATACTTCTCGTCTCTGGTATATGACCACATCATAGAAAACATCCTATATTCGCACTGAACTCTGAAAACTCTCATCTATAAAATATCTATGCATTATATATGTTCCAGAGGGAACAAGAATAATTTTTAACTTGTATGTTAAAGATAATTCAAAGAAGAAAGGTCCATATTAATGTTCTTAGACACAGATCTCTTAACATCAGAAATATTGCAAATCTAAAATCGACAAAAAAATTACTGTGAGGAGCTAGTTTTAAAGGACTTGGGTTTGCAATAACAGACTGGCTAGCACAGCATATGGAGCTCAGTGTACATAATTACTTCATGAAAGATAATTGGATGGAAGGATAAAATAAACTTAGGGAATTGGATGTAAATGGGGGTTTTCTGATCAGTGAAGCCCTCTGATAGCTCCACTTCTAGCAGCTGAGTGATAAGAAGGAACATGACATCCTTTTTAAAGTTGTTTTTCTTAATGGAATAATTTAAAATAAATATGAACAAAATATATGAAGCAACATTCATTGCGACGTGTGAGTGAGGTGTGATGATAGAGTGAGAACAGAGTGATGATAGCTCTCAGAGGAAAAAAAAGACACGTGGTGAACATGGCAAAGAACATAGGTCTCAAACATATTTAATTTTATTGCAACCTTTCCTATTTACCTAATGATCCTGAACATCAGTAAGAAAAAGAAGAGCTCTTCATTTATTTTTGCCACCTATTGTTTTAGGTAAACAGCAGTATATTTACCCTTGGTGGCACCATTAACAAAAGCACCAGGAGAGAAAATAATTATTGCACTTTCCTCATGTTAATACCTGCTCACTGGACTCAGCTTTTTCAGTCAGTTCAGTAGTTAGGGAAATGTTTGAAGATACAATTTCAACATCCTATTACTGTATGATTTAATCCTTAGTTATACATCTCTTAATTATTAACACCTCAGCCAAACATTTTTTAAGGTACTTTTTTAAGGTATTCTGTCTTTAGAGAAAATGTCTGCTTTAGATTAAACCAATTAATTTTCTTTTGTCTAATCTATGAATTTAATAGGACAAAATGAATCATAGAACTGAATATGTTGTAATATATATGTTGTAATATATTGTAAATGCCACTGAGAAGTCAGAAGTTTCCATGTTATTGCTCCAGTTCACTCATCAACAAACCCTGACAAAGAGAGAAGGCTTTCAGAAAATGGGCAGGGGTGACTCGGTCATTATGGGAAGAATATGGGAAGTGATTTAACAAGCTCCCTGAAAACGTGGCTGTTTACTAAGGGCTGCTAACTACCAAGCATCAACTCAAGAAAAGGAGATCAAATTTTGTGTGTCTGTTCCTGTTGTAAAGTTGGTTTTAATTAGTAACCCTTAGGGGTCCCACCCAGTGGCTAGATGAAAAAATACTGCCAAGTAAATGATTGATATATATGGTGAAAAAAACATCACGCTGGAAAAGTGATTCATTATGTAGCTCAGTCTAAAATAATACCCATACAAAATTGTATCTAGTTACCAAAACCCTAAAAATCTTAGCAACATGCAGCCAGGAGGCTGACATTTGGTTAGAAAAAGTACAGCACAAAACTCTGAGGCAGAACAAATACCTGGTTACAAGAGTGGCATAGACACACAGGGTCGTAGGATTTATTTCAACAGCTAATAAGACAGGATGTCAAAAAAGAGGAGTGACAAAAGTTCTGGTGAAATGAATTGTGTATTTGTGCCACTTCTTTTAAACAGTGATATAGAACATCACCAACATTCTACCAGCTTCACAGAAGGTAAGGTAATCTGGGAAACATCTCATGTGTATTACAACATCTGAATGGTGGAAAGAAATCCTTACTGGAGCAGAAATAGTGATGTCCAGAATACATTCCCTGCCTAACCTATCACTGGTCTCACAACTGCTTTAAGCCAGTGGTTTGCTTGCTACTTCTCCCTTATCCAGAGAAATATAATCTTAGCATCAATAATATTTTAAGAATAAAGTAGGACAAGCTTGGTTTAGTTCAAATCTTGTACAATGGATTTTCCAGCTACTGC